TCCACAACAAACTCTATATGGGACGCTTGTAATCTCATCAACCAAATGAACTGTTGTTGAGATACATGAAAAAGGATGAAGCCTTCTGAATGGTATTCCCTGACCTGGATTAAAGAATCAGTAATATTTACCAAGACCCACCAAGTATCTTATTCATATCATAACTTTCATCATCATCAAAAAAGAGAGAAAACGACCGAAACCGAGCGTGCTGAGGGCTCAAGAGATAGATTAAGAAAAAGATTAAAGGAGTTGTTCTTTGTAAAGCTATTATTCAAATAGAAAATATTTCCTCTATTTCCACTTTTAATGTCCTGTTTCAACTGTTGCCCTGTTCATAACATGATTTATTATAACCATGGCTGGAAAGTGCCCACCCAAGTAACCAAATCATTTTCATTTTCAACAAGCAAATTTGATTTGTACATAATATCTTGGCTGGATTTCAGGCGGTTCAGATGGTATATGAAGAAAAGCATCTGTGCCTCTTTCCACATATACAGCGTGGGGTTATTCAGAGGACCATCACTAACTAACACACACGCACACACACACACGGCCTTAACAAGGTGTATGTTTTGTGTCAGAGCTGCACCAGCATCTGTTTTGACAGATATACAAAAAGAAGGCGTGTTAGCTGGGCAAAAGTGTAGCTGCAGATATTTTTATCCCTAGAAATTTTAATCTGGGGAGTACGCAGCCATTTTCCCCTGAGCTACGTTATTTCTAATTTTAAAGATATCAGCACTCAAGGTCAGAGAAGGGCGAGATTTTACAGCTGCTAATACAAGTCTGAGAAACGTCTCCTTGAATGCAGTTTCTGAGACACAGGATGAATTGAATGCACTTTGTTGCTTAAAGCCATCAGACTTTTGCTGTGTTTTCCCCTTCGTGTCTAAAGGACAGTTTGAAGATGAAAATCTCGTCTTTAATGGTTACTCAGCACACAGAAACACTTGTGACATGTTGCCTTATTCTTCACAACCTTTTGCAAACCAACAGTTCTCATTTTGTTCATTTGAAAGTTTACCCTAACCCAGTGGTGAGGCTTCTAACCCAAGCTTTTTATTACCAAATCCCTCACCTGCAAGGAAAAATCCCGGCGGCAGCCAGTGGTTCCCCTCAACCTCTCAGCAGATATACCTATGATGTCAGTTTTTCAGTTACCTCATGTAGAAAATATGGCGCGTGACACCTGACCTTGAGGCCGAGCTCACTGAGCTTCAAACTTGTCGGCGAGTTTGAACAGATACACCTACAGTTGTCGCATTCACAGGAGTCCACGAAGCCCTCCTGTTAGCTTGCCGGGCAGGGTGATGACAGTACCCCATCAGACTCGTGATTTTCATGATTTTCTTTATGCATTTCTTTAATAAAAGATTGTAAAAAGTGAGGCACTTGCTTGCACTGGTAAAAAGAGTGATCCTTTTGTTGAATGCAGCTGAGATTTCCCCGCGTTTACATCATTCCTAAAAGGCTGCCAGGGTAGCACGTGTCTAAACTTTTCAATAAGATGCTTTAAACTGTTATTGTGATAATTCTTCTGCTCTCTTATACTAGGACTGTGTTAAATGAGCAGTCTAACATCATGAAAATAACTCCCTTTTCTATGACATAGAGAAAATCACAAGGATTTCATACAGCAGTGGTGCCACTTCAGAGAAGGTGAGCCCACCATCAAGCATTGCAAACAACAGCTCTGAAAAGCAATGTTTAAGAAAAAACACTACAACTCTATATTTCCACTTCATCTCGAGTGCTCTGATTACTTCTCTTCTGGTCTCCTTAGACGATTGCTATTCATCTCTGAAATTATAGTATATGCTGACAGCATTTACAAGGTTAAAAGGAAGCTTTAGTTCAGTATAAATGTGCTGGATTGCTGTTTTTCTTCACACCTTGCAGTGAAATTCAGTACACACACCTGCAAGATATTCACATATTTTACTTTGTACACCTGTTTGAAGCACAGAGAAACATCTCCTGATGCAAGGGTCAATCAATAAAGTTTGCCCTGCGAAAAATACAGCTACGCCCCTTTTTAATGGCCAGGTACCAGGTTATGCTGTTGTTTCTATGTTCTTTAAGCACATGGGCAAACAATGAAAGAGAAATGATAGAGGTGGGTTGACCTGCTTTACGGCAGGTTTCTTGGTTCGTATACATATTCATTATGCAATGCTACAAATTCACAAGAACCAGACGTTATTATAGAAGCGACAGAAACAAACATAACATATCAGCAGGTTAAGGCATTAAAACTTATTATTAATTACAATTTCTGTGAGCAACATCACTGTCAGTCACAGTGATCTTCTTTCCATTAATAAAGGACTAATACATTGTATCCTATGTTGAAAGAAGGAAGCACGTTTTCTTAGTATTTAGAGAGATCGTGGCTGATACTGGCTAACCAATGTTAGAAAAAACAACTTTAAAATAATCGATGTATGTGCTGATTTGCTTTGACCTCTCCAGCACACTCACACATGTAAACAAACCAGTGCATGCAAATGAATATGCAGGCTGACCTGATCACCCTTTCCTCCGTTCAATATGTAAAACAGTAAAGTGTACAAAGGTAGCATGACCCATACAGTCTAACAGTAGTAATGAAATGATTCTTTATGTCGTGAGCAGAGAAAAATGATTCAAATCTATTTATAAGATGTGCTTTTTAATGTCAGTGGACGCTGCACTTGCCAATAACTGATTCCTGTCTGCCTCTAATTAACATGCAAATATTACCCAGTAATTAAAATTGCAGCCTCGCTCTTCACAATTCAGTATTTTCATCAATTCTCACAATGTGTGCGTAATCTGGTTCTCAATGTACATCTAATACGAGGAAGTCATTAATATTAATGAGTTCAGTACACTGACAGACTCTCAGTGAGATTTACAACGGGGGAAATAAGCAATTCAAATTATTAATTGATGCCTTAATTGTTGTTTGCTTGAAATGACAATAGCTACAGCGGAACTGAAAAGCTGAAGGGCCAAATGTTCTGCCTGCTTTCATCATTTCCACGGGTGAAGAGTAATTAAAATTAGGCTCACACTTTGGCAGCATAATTAGATAACTGCTGACATGAAATGAAACATAAACATGGGGACATCCCTAACACAGAACAGATATTACTTCATGCAAATTTCATGTTATTTATTGAATACTGCCATTCTACTGGCCTGGGACAGATATTCTCAAGTTGCCTTGAGGCGCTAACCACGGCAATATTACACACCAATAATGAGAAATAATAAAATCCACATGAGGAGGTTGAAGGGTTGAAATCACACTCAATTTACCACTGAGGTTACAAAAAATATGAAATCAGAAAAGAATAAGCTTCAATATCAAAATAAAGCCTCTTAATTTGTTTGATATTTGGATTTATTAAACTGCTGACGTGGTCCATGCATATGTTATGGCTTGTTGTGTTATCACTTATTGTTTCCTGCCCTGTTTTCTTATTGTTTTGTTTTAATTGTCTCATGCTTTTACTGACTGTGAAACACTATGGTCAACTTTGTTGTTTTTAATATGTGCTATATAAATAAATTTTGATTGATTTGATTGATTGATGTTTGTCTTGGATTATTTAGTTTAGGTCTGTCTTTCCTTGTTTATTTTTACATGTTTGTAGAACATAATAAAGAACAATTACAAGGATTTCATAGATTTTCTGGCAAATAAATAAAAATGTCCTTTTGGCAGCCATGCCGCTGTCAAAATTTGGGGCCACGACTGTACTGCCAGCTGGCGTCTTTTATACAAACTCACCAGTTTCAGGTCCTTGCTCAGGGTCCTGCTCCTTCTTCTTGTCAGTGATGTCTTTGTGGGACACAAGAAAAAGAACCACCTCGCCCTTCTCATTCTTAATCGGTACAATGTCCAGAAGACACCAGAACTTTGTACCTGGAGAGAAAAATAAATGCAAACCTACAATTAATGTGGGCTTTCGTAATACAAAAGTGGAAGCGGTTAAATCTTTTTCTCCAATGTACCAAATGTTTCGAACTCTGTGTATTTTTAGTCCTATACGTCACTTTTAACAGACAAAGTCTGTGGAAGTCTTTAGTGAACTATTTCTGATGCTCATAAATGTGAGTTATGAATTTAAATGTGAGTTTACATTTTAAACCAAGCGAAACTGTGTCTGACTCATGTTATCTCATTTTTTACATTATTTTAATTTGTTAATTTTCCAATTAGTGGTAAAATAGTGGCATTAACCCACCGCAGACTGCTGTTACCTCAATATTAATGACGTGACCAGCAATGCTTTGTTTAAAAATGATGTTTCATCTGACTGCCTACTGCCGTGCACACAGACTCAGACTCAGAAAAAACCCTGATGAAATTGGCTTCAGGAGCAGATTACTTTGACATTTTAGACAGACATTTCCTTCCATGTGTAGACACAGAACAGAGCAGGCATCAATCACACTGATTAAGTTAAAAATACCATAAAAGAGGAGCTGGGGTGGACGTGGGTTGCAAAGTTGCATGCAGACGCTCAGGAACTGTGGGTAGGCTGAAGTTGCTTAAATAGCCCTAAAATTATTCATAAGGAATCTATTAAAATGTGAGCCATCATCTAACTTGGACTGAGATCAGCTGATCTGCCTGAACAGGCCCGAAATGAACTAAATAGATGAATTTTGTTAGTTTTGAGTGAAACTACATACCTTCACAACATTAATCTTGCGAACTGAAAAATGTTACTTAAGGGTACCTAGTATGTTATTCTCATTTTATACAATATACAAGATCATGTGGTGTGTGTCAGGTTTATATTGTTGATTGTCATTTATGCTTATAAATATTTACTCATATATTCTTAGAGTTTTATAATCGATTGCATAATGATAGAGGTCTGATCCTTAGCAGTCTGCAAAAACTCTGTGTGCCTCCCAGAGCACTCTGGCATACACACATGAGAGAGGTCATGAGAGAGGCCATACCTTCTCTTACTGATTTATGGTATAGGAGGACACCTACTCTGTATCTGGTTAAGAATAAGAGCCCTTTGTTTGAGTGAACTGCTGGACTCCCTGGCACCAGTAGGTGTGGGGAGTCTTCACAGGGTCACATCTTGACCACGCACGCACACGCACACGCACGCACACACACACACACACACACACACACACACACACACACACACA